AAATATTGCAATGTATGATGCGAGGGAGGATGTGGAATAAAATATTTTTCATGAATAAAAATTTGGGCCAAAAAAGAAATGGTCAAATATCCTCAAGCAGTGCTGTTCACGAGGGATGTTTGACCATACTTCACTCAGCTTGTCAGTGCTGTTTAACAAAGGGGGCATCCAGGACCAGTTCAGATACCACTCCGCACTGCTTTTTAGCGGTGGCCGGGGATCGAACTTGCTTCGCTGGGTTCACAGTGCAATGCACGAAAACCACCGCGCCGTTCATCCACCCCCATCTTCGATAAACAAGGGGTCATCGTTGGCTTTAGAAACGCAGTGTAAATATTGTGCTTCGGTTAAACGCAAATCAACTGTAGGCAAGTGCTATTTTTTAAAAGCTGAAGAAAACAAGGCACTTTCACAGCTCGATTTAAAAACACGACCCAACGCAAAGGCGCCGAGGAGGCTCGCGCGTTACTCGCGTTGGAACCTCGCTCGCGGCACGCTCAGTGGCGCCGATTCTCGTCCTCCTCCAAGAGGTCCTGCTCGATGAGGACGTCCTCGTGCTCCACGAGGCTGCCCTAGCTGATGCACGTGGCCACCGTGGAGGCGCTGCTGACGTGCGGCTCGCTCGCGTGCAACACATGACGCGCCGCCTCGTCACGTGCAGGGTGCGCGCGTGCACACAGCACGTGACGCGCCTCGTCACGTGCAGGGTGCGCGCGTGCACACAGCACGTGACGCGCCTCGTCACGTGCAGGGTGCGCGCGTGCACATAGCACGTGACGCGCCTCGTCACGTGCAGGGTGCGCACGTGCACACTGTGCGTCCCGGGGACCCGGGGGCCCTGCCACGCGTGCTCACGGTGCACAAAGCACACCGACCTGAGACTCTCACCACACTACCACCAGCGTATCGCAGTCGTCTACGGTTGGCCACGTACGGTGCTAAAGAAGTTCAACGTACGTACGTCTCTACTACTATCCTCACCACTGCCATCGTTACAAAGATGCTCACCACCATCGTCGTCAGCCAATTCCTATCCGTCCTCACCACCCCCATGATGAGGCAGCCAATCTCCGTCTCTCGTGATCGTCATCCAACGTCAACCATCTGCCGAGACTTGTCATCGTAATCATTGTTACCCAATGAATATGTATGTTGAACTTCTTTCACGCCGTACGTAGAGAACGTGCTAATCGGGGGTGCGGGGGTAGGACAACAAACTAAATAGGATTGGTTCAAGTGTCGCTCACGTTAGTCTTGGTTGAGAATCAAACTTAGGGTCACGGGGTTTTCATCAGTGGTACGTGTTAAATGCTACTGTACTGCTCCACCCAAACAATTACAGCAACAAAACTTATTGGGTTGGTTATTTATGCATGTCATGATGTCTTAAAGTGAGGTTTGTGTTTATATTATGCTGATAAAACGATAGCGGTATAGAGAACGGATCAGAGAATTGTCGATTCACTCACGCGCTTTACTGCAGTGTTAATTTCTTCATCGGGATGCTGTCGGTAACTACCCCCGGAACAATATTCTGCCTTGCCCAAATCTTTTTTTCTATCACAGTTGCTTAGCACAGGCCCAAAATGCCCATCGGCCATCAACAAACAGCACTCCTGAAGTTGAAAAAAACACAATATATTTCTTGCATTGAGCGAGGTTACAAGATCTTGGGAAAGAGACGATGGGAGGGAATGTCGGCGTCACGGTCCAAATTGTGCAAATTGTCTGCAAAAGCCACTCATTGGGAGAAATGCACAGCAACATCACCCCCCTCCCACTCCCCACCGCAAAACTCCTGCGGGTCTGCGAGACAGAATTGGATCGTCGCTTATTAATGCTCGTGGCTGGCGATCGCGAGAGTCGGCGGAGTGGCGCTGTGGCCCTCCAGCTGCGCTCACCCTGGGGGTTGTAGCAGTCCTCGGCCATGCAGCTGAGCTGCTGCCCGGAAGGGCGCGCAGCGCTGTGCGTGTCGGGGCGCTGCACGCGCGTGGGCCACACGCCGCCTGGCACCGGTGGCACGGCGATGTGGGCACGCCCATCTGTCCCCAGCCGCTGCTCACAAACAAGCAGAATATTGATTTATACTGGAGGAATCCCATGAGCTATGAAGCTCTTTTTCACAGATGTCCAGTTAGGGGCGGATCAGAACGTTACAACTACAAATAATACAAAAACACGACAGCAGGACAAATTAGGAGCAGTTTAAAACAATATATAGTTGGTAAGGCCTTCTGAACCATGAGCGCCCAGGGCATCATAAGACGTGCCATGCTTGGGGAAGGTCTTGACGACCCCATCGATTTGTTCCATGCTTGTGATCACTTCAGAAGGTTTATTTGATACGTCTTCATTATTAATCTGTTGTTTATTTTGATAATGCTCTATATTTACTACTTTCGTAATCGTATACAAAATACATTGCGCTAATTATTTTCAATTATTTTCGTTCTCATCATCAGCAGCAATGTTCAATCCACTGCCGGATGAAGGCCTCCCCCAAACAATTTAATAATCCACCGAACACGAGCACCTGTGCGCGAGCCGATGTCGTCGCTCCATCTCCGCAGTGGACGGTCTCTGAGATGCGTTTCATTCCTTGCCTGCTGCCACTATCTGTCCTCAACACGGCTTTTGTGGTTCCAGAGGATTTGCTCTCAGTTTGCTTTCACAGCCCCCACTTTATACTCTACATCACTATGCAAATGTATTTGAGTGGCGACATCCTTTTAAATGGTTTGCTCCTCTCGTATTACGATATACATTTTTTATTTATAAAACACCGGATCTCATGCGCACACGCGCACAACTCGCGTAAGCTTTGCGAATCAATGCATCAATACACACATACAAGCTGTCCCTTTTATCGCCGTCAACCTGAAGGTGTTATCGCAGGTTGTGCAGTTGAAGAGCGCTCCACTCCCCCACTCCCTGTCCCGTGGCACTGGCTGGTACTTCCTGTTGCAGCTCCTGCACTGGGACACCTGCACAGCAAATACAACGAATGATCCACACCCCGATCAGCAACGGTGGAAGCAACAGAAGTTGTTGTTGGCGGTGGCATTGCCGCTCGTTGGCAAGGTTCACGATTCATCCCCGTGGCCACCCTGGTTAATGCCGTGGGTGTATTACCAGAAAATATATGCCGTATGCTCCACAGTGGATGTGACAAATCCCGTGACGCGATTAGGAAAAAGAGTAGGCCACGTGCATGAAGGTCATGGTTCAAATAAATACAAATATTTGCAGATTACCCAATTGATAAAACCCATAGAAACATTTCGGGAAACTGGCAAACTACTACCTACTTGCAGCCTGGGGCTGTGTTCACCTTGTGCCATATGGGGACAGCTGCCATCAGGGGCTCCCCTGGGCTAAAAATAAAGTTAAGTATTGGAATGATTGAGATGAGATGGAAGATGCGAGTTTCTGAGGCAAGCACCTTATAAATGGAACTGCAAATCCTACTCGAGCTAATTTATATGAGGCAAGGTTCCAACTCACTGCACACTCACTGTTTGCGTTCACCTAAGGCAGGGGTGGGTTACCTTTTATCTGCCAAGGGCCATTTGTATATTTATAACATCATTCGCAGGCCATACAAAATTATCAACTTCAAATTAGCCTGTTATATTTCATCAAACATTTAATTAACTCGCCCCCTAATGTGATGGCTGGAACTGCTTCTCTTTGGTGAGGCGTATCCTTCTCTACATTAAAGGTCTGCCCGGCTAACCCACGATACCCCGTTGCCATTGGCCACGGCGTGCAAACATACTTTTCCGGCCAAACGGATGCTTCCCCTTGTGCTCGTGTGGACCTAACCGCGGTGACTGAGTAGCCTCGTCGTGACCATGCAATTGCACGTCAATTCATGGCTCCGCGGTGTAATTCAACCTGGGGGAAGTCGTCCAATTCCCTGGCCCCAGGAAACCGTGGGGGATGTCCCTACGAAGAGGGCCCCTGGGTGAAAACCTGGAGGCCAGGTGACTTCCCCACGAGGTCCTACGTGGGGGTGTGTGTGTTGTGTGTGCTCATTTGGGGGGTGGTGAGGGAGAAGCAGCGTCGGCCCGGACGCTCTCCCGTGGTGGCGTTGCAGGAACGGCTCCGACGGAGCGGCTTCGCTGTTGTGGGACCATACAGTCTCTCCAAAGGGCCACTGATACTCATTCTTATCCAAGTGCTCCTTACTTGTCTTACCCCAGAATGGACGATGGGTTGAGTCAACTTCCGACTAGCATATGATCTATCTGCCTGTTGTGGGATGGGTGCTCTGCTACCTGGCGAGATGACTTATCATATAAGATGAACTGATGCGATGTTATTTACAAAACACAGCCAATTCTGGCTGTCACCTGATAAGGATGGTTGTAATTACTGTCGAAACGTCGTACTCGACTTTTTAATGGTGTGGGTTTACTCTCCAACACACAACCGGTGTGCTGAACGAGAAAGGGAAAAAAGTGAGGGAAAAAAGTATTTGATCCCCTGCTGATTTTGTACGTTTGCCCACTGACAAAGAAATGATCTTGGTGATGACCCGCACTATGTAAGAAGCAGGTGTAGCCAAATCTTCCTGCACAAAAGTAAAAAATAATGGTTATTGAATTATATTGTGACCACAAATCCTGACAGTTAATTTAATTATTGACTAGTATTCAGTCACAAAAAACGTATATTTTACAGCATTATATAATAGCTATTTCGAAATACAATACATTATGATTGTATAAAACCATGTTGAAAGTATGCTCTTGCTAGCAAGCGATATCAGGGTTCTTGTCTATGTTACTACACAATCCATGGTTTGGTAATAACTCACGCATTCCTGGAGGCTGGCAGCATTTAACAATTCACTTAAAGCTTGTGGAGTGGTAAACTTGCCAACCACGAAGCTATTCTGCCACCGATTTGTTTTCTTTTTATTACACATTCATTTAAAAACATGTATTTACATAAATAAGCATTTAATTGCAATCATTTATGGAGGATTTACTCACCTCAGTTTATAGGAGAATTAGAAACCCGATTCAACCGTTCACAGTGATAAGATGGACTGTAAAAAAAAACAATCATGATTACTTTAAGAATAGTTTGCAATTCCAACTTTTTAATTTCCTCCCGAAAGAAAATACCCACAATGATGGAATTGATTAATTAATCCAATTAATTAAATTAAATACTTATACTCCAAAGTGTATGCTCCCCCAACCTGTATTGACCAGAATAGTGTAGTATAATCAAGTTTATCCATATTATTTCCTATGGTTTACAAACATCAACAATGCAGAGAATCAGAAGTTATGTGATTTTGCCATTTAATTGCTTTGTTTGAGAAATGGCGAATTCATATTTGGGGGAGTGCGAAGTTACCCGGTCCATGGTTTGGAGTTCAATAGCCATAGTTGCACACAGAAAAGAGTCGGTAATTTAGGTATCAGCATTTTACGTTCATGGATCCGAGTTACTCCTACCCATTGTTAAGGTGAAAGTAAAATAAACAACTAAGTCGTAAGAATGACCATTAATAAACATCAACCGCACAAAAATATCAGTGTGCAGCAAGTGTGTGGTTTGCCAAGGATGAAATTAGTGATGCAACTATTATTTAATTTTGTTTAACCTTAAATAGTGGAAAATTCAATAAAGTTAAAATATTATTTCAGTGAGTGTATCAATTTAACTAATAATATATTAATTTGGCAGGGTGGTCCAGTGGTTAGAGCGCATGGCTGTCTGTTATAATTCTATGTGTTCAGAATTAAACTGAAAGCTGACTCAGCAATTTATCCCTCGGGGTTTGAGAACAATTTTTTACGACCTTGTGGGAAGAGACAAGTCAACCTCCATTGGAATCGCATGGGCCCGCTATAAATGCAGAGTGTTTAGCACGAGCTTGAAGATACAAGGAAATAAAACAACATCTTGAGATGCATTCAGACGCAAAATCGTATTGTAGCATAGAAACTCCACCCCATTTTTGAGTGGGAAACTACTTTGACATTGAACTTTATTATCTGAGATGTGTCAAAACGTGTCCCGTTTGTATTAGATCAGTAAGACATACTTAAACATCCAAAGTGAATACATAGGTTAATAGACATTAAAGTTAAATCATATATATTTTAATACAAAACACTTCCAATGCATTTTTTTAAAATGAATTCTGATAAATAACCAAACCGAAAATATACAGAATAACATAGTATCGGTAAACATGTTTGTGGCTCTAGGATGAGACATCAAATACAATAAATACTGTTGTAGTTGTCACATCCGAGACATTCCCTACAGCCAACACAAGGCAGTGTAATAGGATGACAAGCAGCCTAGAAAAGCACAATGCACCACAGAAAGCACCCTTGCTGGTCATTAACCACAGAAATACATTCATTCAGAAACTGTGGATGGCTTAATACATGTAAGTATGGATAAAAGGTGAACATCACAATTGGGAATGAAATATGACTCCTTCCACAGCAGGGTGGTTGCTTATGCAGAGAAATGGATGAGCCAAATGCGAAAACTTTACACACCACCCTGCTCATAAACACCACAGTTATGTCAGAAGAGACCCGTGGAGTGATATAAACTTACCTTAAAGAGTTGCAGCCATTCATTAAATTGGTCTAATTTAGATCGTTGCTCTGGCACGTAGCTGAAGACTGAATTTCATCACAATTCTCATCCATTTCATAAGCGCTCTTCCTGTAACGGTTCACACTGAAAGCCATGAGGTACTGTATGTATTAAATAAGGTACATTCGGGACAGTTTTTAATTACCGATGTGAAATGGCCATTGCTCAATGGAATTAAATGTGCGATGAAACACATTTATTTGCATGTTTACCAAAGTATGCAGTTTAAACATGAATGGGGCACGCACTATCATGTAATAAACATGGATACAACAAAATATTAATATAGATTTGTAACCCTTTCCAACATTTTCTGCTGGATGAGGACCTCCACACAAAGTGGGGGTCGTGTGAGTTAATTGACCATACTTCACCAGGCTAGTCGGTGCAGGTTAGTGAAGGCTTCCAGTATATAGATGTGGGAGCGTGGAAATGGATGTTGCTGCACTGCCCTCTGCTGCAAATCACGCAGCACTCCAGCTTCTTCTAAAGAACCTGCTGTGGTGGGTGCTCTTTCAAGCGCTATCCACCAGGCTCAACAACACTACTTCGCTTCTGAGATCAGATGCATCCAAGGCAATTGGTTATAGACCAGAAACAGATTAAAAGCCTTGATATCGACCCTGAAGGTCTACATTTGGATTTCATATTGAACCTTTTCTTTATGAAACACCAATTAAGAGCTCTCAAATAACTTTGGCAGGCTACACATCAGCACACACCTTAGCTATATAAAATAACAGGGAAAACAAAGTGCACGCTGACCAAGCATAACAAAGACTGCACTGATTGAGTGTGCTAGAATTAGAAAGTGTTTCCCGGTCAAAAATATTCCCCTGTAGCACCGGATAAGTGAGGCTAAGATGCTTGCCGTTATGGATAAGTATGATTTGTGGGTAGTTTTGAAGTGGTCAGCGTCATGTGGCTGGTAGCCATATAAAATTAATTTGTGGTCAATATGTTGCCCACAGGCCGTAAGTTCCTCACCGCTGTCCTAAAAGCAAACTGATGCTACGTCTCTGCGATTACAAACGAGACGCAAGCTGCGCTGTTCCTGGAATTGATTGGCTTGGTTCTTATCCCAAGATTGACTTGGATTAAACCCCTTCCCTGCCATCCCCTGCATGGCTGGAAGGCAACAATCCATAAAAAAAATATAAAGAACTTATGTTTGGGTTGTCTCAATGTTTTGAAAATGTTTACTATGAAGTCACCACTGTTTCCATCCTAGCTAAAGCAGGTCGAGTGGCCCGATCACAGCTTTCTTGACCTCGTGCCCCACTGCCGTGGGAACCCCGACTTGACCCACTTTTCCAGTTCCCAAACATAGGTCAGTCCGCTATTAAATAAATATGGGAATGCGGTGTATTGTTTCCCTATATGAAGCTCTGTGAAGTGGCTAAATCTGCCTTTTTATGCGAGTTCCTTGCTATCACTTGTATTTACTGACACCATCTGGTCCAATAGTTACAAAAATGAAACATGGAGAAAAATATTCACCTTGTTTATAATGGCAGTGGAAATATTGTAAACTACAATAAATGCAAAGTACGTACATTTTCCCCATGTTGATGTTATTTTGGTCCGTTGCAGCCAACTAATAAGAAACAAGTTAAAATCACATCCTCAGTGTTAAAGTGTTCTAAAGATTTAGCGGTTGTGATTGCAGACGTAAAAATAAAAAAATTAACACATAGGCTTTACACGACCAATATTATCCATAAGAGGTTTTTTGGGTTAGAGCGCATAAGTAGAAATGTGTCATATTATGGGTAAAAGATAGAAGTCATAACAGGTATTACACACAGGTACTGCCGGGGTCATGCATCCCCATAAAACAAAAAATATTCTCAGAAACAAAGTAGAAAGTGAATGTTAGTACCAGTTGCCACTTGTGGCCACATCAGCAAGTTCAAAAATTGCCTTTAAGCTAAAATGACAGCCTACAAAATACCGATTGGTACATAGCAATGTAAATTGATCTCTTGCTTATTTTTAAGTCACACACACTAACAAGATAAACATACCAATGCTACAAATGTTGAGACCATAAATCTTTACGGGAAAGTTCACAGGAACTAATAAGCCCAAAAGAGCCAGCATACACATTGATAAATAAGCACCCATCTCTCCTGTATAGCTATGCAGGAAAGGTCATGCTGATGAGCCCGATCAAGGGTGAGGTCGCTCATCTATAATTAGCTTTCACTGTAGGTTTGCTACTTGTCATAATCGGAATGCAGCCAATGTATTGTGGCCAACATGGGGTTATTGCATTTCCTCGATCACCCATCGAAAAAAGGGATCAGATAGCCACTAGTATCATGAGAGGGTCAGGATTAACTGATGGGCATGGATAAAAAGGTATTTTGATTTGACCTAGGAGTTAACACTTTGACATTTGTACCTGGTGATAACTAGCATTCACATCCTGGGAACCTGGGGGAGTAGATTCCACAGCAGGAGATGACCTGAACATAAAAATACATATCTCAGTATAACAGTTGTGTTTTTCCATTTAAATGCAAAATCCAAAGTGAACAATTGCAAATAGGCTAAATATATTTACTTACTTGCATCGGTTTTTATACCATCTCAGAAGACGTTTTATGCACCGAGTCATGAAAATGCCAACAACAACTCCAATAAGGATTCAAATGCCAATGCCAACATCAAATGAAAGGCATTGAGTGCCCTGACAAGGAACAACAGCAGCAGACCGAGGGGTAGAAGGAGTAGTCTGGATATCTGTGGAAATAAAAAAAGCAGCCACCTTGAGACATACAACAATGTAATCGGTTTAAACAGTTTTTTAAAATACTACAATTGATACACAGTGATACCTCTTGTCAACAAATAATCTGGGAAACTAATTCCTTCATAATGAAGTCAACCGTGCAGGGCCCCTTCTGCCCTATTTTTGCAAAAAAAAATGAAAAAAATATCTCCAGAAATAATGCACAGTGATTTAAGAGTAAAAGGTTGAATGCTGTGCGGGCACATCACTTTGGACATTTGGACATCTGTGAAGAGCTTTATAGATCATTGGATTCCTCCAGGATAAATTAATATTCTGATTCTGACTGTGTCAGCAGCCAGTGAAGAGCTGTGCAAGTCTGCCTCACTTGGACCAGTCATCAGCAAGTTTCACCAGTCTACCCTCATCCCGCTAGCCAGTGCTAGAGCTCAAATTTATATTTAAAGCTTTCGTGACTGCAGGGATTCATCTTCTGGGTTCTTTCGGTAAAGTCACGTAGAATGGAGATAAAATAATAATAATAAAAATAATAATAACAGAATAAAATTCTCACGACGTTTCGACCACAACACAAGTAGCCTTCCTCAGGTGAAGAAACAGGACTGTCCGGAAGACAGCACTTGAGTGAACCCTGCCAAGCTTGGAAGCGTCTTTTAAGCTGTGTGGGAGGAACAGAGCGCCTTGACAAAGGATTTTTACATATACATTAGCATGTAACTGGGGGATTAGCATGATGTTGGTGTGAGGGATGAGCACCACGGAGAGTGACGAGCTCGGACCGGAGGAGGGGGGAGAGGAGTTTACATATACATTAGCATGTAACTGGGGGATTAGCATGATGTTGGTGTGAGGGATTAATACCACGGAGAGCGACGAGCTTTGTTCAGACGGACGAGTCCATTTACACTATGTATTATTCTACTAACTGTTGTATATGCCCCCCTTTCCATCTTAATATTAACAAGTAATTTTTCAATACATATAGATACATATTTCTATTGTTTCTTTTAATTTTAATAATGAATAAAAACACCAAACCAGGCCTCAGCATGGCATGTGGAGGTCATATTTACCTTGACCCACTAACACGATTTTGACGTTCAGAGCCCTCCCAGGGTCAGAGGGAGCAGATAGAGAGCAGAGCGCAGCGGATTACAAGGGGCTGATGTAAACACAAAGCCAGGGTCACTGGGAGGTTGCGTTAGCCTAGATCTAGTTAAGTAAAAAAAAACTAATTGGTTCTGCATTACTATTAGAGTAACTTAAAGTCGGAATTTAATGACAGGGTAGGCTAAAGTTATTGATCTTCACATCCACTTCAATTGAACCCTGCCACAAGCTACGTCAATGTAACCATCACCCGTCTATTAATTTAATATGAAACGTATTTACATATTTTAATAATTTCTATACGACTTGACCCGAAGCCTAACAATCAGGTTTTCCTAAGTCAACATGAATGCTCTAATCCACCCATACGCAAATAATAAGCTGGGTTAAAGTAAGAGTAGAGAGGAAAAGAAATGCAAGCGCACAGCAAAACTGCAACGTAAGGAAAGGGCGATGTTAAACCCAGGGTCGGAGAGAAAGGGAGATCCCGGCCGTCTTTGTATCCCCGCAGCGCGGGATAGGAGTGTGTATACGCTTGGGGAAACACGAGTCAAAGACCACAACGGGAAGCTGACCCAGACCTTGGATTAATACAGAATCATAACTGTGGAACTCTGATGAAATGAAATGTTAACTTAAAACTTTTTAACCATTTCTTTGTGCGTCGGTGAAAGTCGGAGGGAATATCACCCCTCCCTCCAGGTTGTGCACCCAGACAGAGAGGCGCCTTCGAGACAATTTATAACATTTGATTGTTTTACTTGTGGGTTTTATGGTAGGAGTATGACAACGGAATATACCGTGGGTGATGCACACAATGACACACACTGACACATGTACGGACACACACGGACGCAGATAAATACGGACAAATCCTGACACAGCAAAAATCGAAAGAAACCCCGCCTTGTGGGCAGGATCCGAGTGAATGGATTTTTGGGCATAAAAAGAGGATCCTGAGCATTGAAACCTCAGTTCGACCGGGGGGGGGGGGGGGTCGGCTCACCAGAGTTCGACCGGGGGGTCGACTCTCGGGAGACAGTTCGACTCGGAGGAGCAACTCGGAAGAGTTCGACCCGGGGGGGGTCGGCTCACCAGAGTTCGACCGGGGGGTCGACTCTCGGGAGACAGTTCGACTCGGAGGAGCAACTCGGAACAGTTCGACAGGAGGGGGTCGGCTGACCAGAGTTCGACCGGAGGGGGTCGGCTCACCAGAGTTCGACCGGGGGGTCGACTCTCGGGAGACAGTTCGACTCGGAGGAGTTCAACTCGAGGGAGTTCGACCAGGGGGGGTCGGAACTCGGGGAGTTCGACCAGGGGGGTCGGAACTCGGGAAGTTCGACTCGGAGGGGTCGGAACGCGGGGAGTTCGACCAGTGGGTCGGCTCAGGAGCAGTTCAAATCGGGAACGAGAGCAACAGGTCGCCAGCCAGCGAGCTGCAGAGCAGGGAGCTGCGAGCAGAAGCCAAAGTGGCCCCGTCGCTACCCACTGACGTTGGCAAGACTCGCAGGGTAGTGAGGCGTCACCTAGTGTGATTTCCAAGAGCTGAAAGACAGAGTATTGCTGAAAGATTATTCTACATTGAGTCCAGCTGCAGAGCGACCGACGCACCAAGCAAGAGCTTCTGCAAACCAGAGCAAGAGCACGTGCGACTTGAGTCATCCAGCAGTGGAGAAAAACCTGCTTTCAGCAAACCAGCAACGAGCACGTTCGAGTTCTCCACCCAGAGAGAGGGAGCGTGCCGATGCAGCTCATCCAACAGCGGAGAGAAACTGCTGTCAGCGAACCAGCACGAGCGTGATCGCGCAACTCATCCAGCAGTGGAGAGAGGTGTCCACTGAGCAGAACTGAGAGCGATCAAGCAACTCTCCCCTGTGGACAGAGGCTGGCTGCTGCATGGAGGAGGGCGGCGATACGTATGATGCACTCCCACACACCTCACCGCTCTAAAGGGAGCGAGGCTACTTCTCCTACAAGCGATGCCAACTTCAGCGTATGGCAACGCAAATAATTAATTCCAAACACTGACTATTCAAAACAATTCATATCACTCAAACCTACACGGGTCCTTAACCAGAAGCGAACATTCAAGTCCTGTGAACCATCTGGCTGTGGAAGCATAGATCGTGTGATAACAGTCCGTCATTTATAAGTATATTCATAATTTCCCTCTTTAATATTTTGTTTTGGACTGTACTTCTAATCGCATAAGTTACCAACCGATCCATCAATACGAATTAACCCTTGGCACCTTCGCCACGGAGCTATGCTCCCGGGGAGGAATCGTGCTAAACCGATTTTCTGATCATACTATCTTATTCACTAATTAATTAATTAATCTCCCGTGAGATAACACGTTCCGCCGCATACCCTCACACTAAGCCATTTCGGTAATCTTATAGTCTGTCCGGTGGATCTGTTACATTTATGCTTTTGGAAATAATAACTGTTTAATTGTCTTTTTATATGAATACCGTTGCATGGTAATCAATCGCCTGTGATAATGTGCTGACCATTTCAAGCATAATGATCGTTCATATAATGTATAAGCTTTTGTGTAGCATAGCATTTGCATGTCCTGACTCTCTCTCTCTCTCACTAACAGCAATCGCTTTATGCGGGGTCCATGTGTTATCAAAGTGAAATCGTACAGTCGTTGATGATACTGTCTTGATACCGTGTGGATACCGTGTTGAAG